GGGGTAGTACAAGAAGCCTATCCTGATTTTTTAAATACACGGTGTTCTGATCTTGGATACATTCACTCACTGGATTTTAAAAATATGACTTTTCTCTTTCACAGCCATCAACCGCTTCGACTTTTCTCCCGACCCCAACAAATAAAAAGTGTGATGATTGCAGACCCAAAGAAGCAAGTTTTTGAAATATCTACTTAGAATCCACAGAAAGAAATTAAAAAGAAACTACAAATCAAGCGCATTAATTTTGGATGAATTACCGTTGAATGTTTCAAATAACAATTTTTTTTCTGACTGAAAATCTATCGAAACTTCATATTATTAGAAGAGGAATTATTCGTTGCTATCTTTCGGAGCGCAGTTGTTATTTATTTCGATGAAGCAAGGAAAGACTGACTCCTCTCCTGCGCAACACCTGCACTGTTTTATTTTAAATCTGTATTTTGTTCTTGCTCATAACAATTAATGTTTCACTTGTAACGTGTTTTCACATTCAGAGCAAGAATGGTTGGTTTGCTTTTGCAAGGCGCTTGTTGTGTTTTGTCTCAACACTGCTGATGTTTCAGAGTCTGTAGTTTTGCGTTCTGTATATCGTACTGTGTGCCCGAGCTTAGTTCATTTTACTTTGCTTGTTTTAAAGTGGATGTTTTTTTATTTTTTTTGCGTCATCTTACTTTTTTAAAATAACAACCCACGGTTCCCTTTTATTTAGACTTCCATAAATAAAATAATTAAAACCCCACACACTGTCTTTGCTTCGTTTGTTGGCTTTAAAAAAAATGTTTTTACTCCCTTTTTGGTTGGAATATTTTGCCTACTTTACTTTCATAACCTTTACCAGAGCACAACAGCAAAACAGACCGTTTCAAACAGAGATGGAACTCTGAACCTGTGAAGTATATAAAATCAATATGTGCACATCACAGAACAACATTCCTCACCCCCCCCCCCCCCCTCCTACACCTCCTCCCCGTCCGTTTCCTCAACTCAATCACTACAAAAGTGGCTGTACGACACAGTCCGGTGACACACGACTGCAACAGAATGGAGACTGCAAGACATGTTGCTGAACTCCCACAACACCATACAATGCAGACCACGGCAATCTGACTTCCAGTGTCTAAAATGTGGAGGATATTGTAGATCCTAAACATGCCTTGTGGCCGGTAAACTTGCTTGTGTGGCTTAGATCACAACCACAGTCATCTTCGATATGATGGACAGAGAAAAGGAAGTGTGAGCAAGAATGAGAATTGAGATGAGATAGATAGATAGATAGAGAGAGAGAGAGAGAGAGAGAGAGAGAGAGAGA